GAGAGAGAGAGAGAGAGAGAGAGAGAGAGAGAGAGAGAGAGAGAGAGAGAGACAGAGAGAGAGACAGAGAGAGAGACAGAGAGAGAGACAGAGAGAGAGAGACAGAGAGAGACAGAGACAAGAGACAGAGTCAGAGAGAGTCAGAGAGTCACAGGACACACACACACAGAAGGAATTGTTTGGCTATTTCTTGGCATGGTAAAGGTACTGCTAGGGAGTTTCCTCGCTGCTCTTCCCCCATCTTTCCTATTACCCTCTCGTGAGCAGGGTCATTCCTGCTTCCTGAGAGCGTCCTTGGCCCTCGTGGTTGGCTCCAGCTGCCTTCTGTGCCTGGTTAGCCTCTGAATGCCTATAGTATGAGCACAGTCGCTTTGATGTCTGAGCATTAGCGCTTGCTTTGACTCCTGCGGCTTCCTTCCTCATGCTGCCTCCCCCCTCCGCTCTCAGCGGACCTCCCAAAGGCCGTGGTGAGACGGGAGCCACCGTGGATCCAGGCGCTCCGGGAAGACCAGGTGACTCTGACCTGCGAGGGCGCCCACAGCCCCGGGAACCGCTCCACGCGGTGGCTCCACAACGGGAGCCCCCTCCCTGCCCAGGTCCAGCCCAGCTACAGGTTCACGGCCAAAGGCAACGACAGCGGAGAGTACAGGTGCCAGATGGGCGGGACCAGCCTCAGCGACCCTGTGCGTCTGGAGGTGATTTCTGGTCAGTAGAACAGGGGGATGCTGGGAGGACCAGGGCAGGGAAGCTGCTGACCCTGCAGATGGTGGGAGGAAAGGAGGCTGCCTGACTTCTGGGAAGCACCACCGTGACTTGCTTGAAATAATTTTTGCTCACTCACTTCCTCACCCACTCTTTGGCTTCATATGTGTCAATGGGGGTGCATTTCCTACGAAATTCCTCGGCATGTATGAATAGTTGTTTTTGTCTCCGTCCTGGTTGAGCAAGAGCGTTCCAAAGCCAAAGACAGGCAACTGGGCGTGAGAAACAGAAGGAGGGCCCTATTACATAAAAACCCTTTCACTGTCAGACCAGGAGTGATGATTTATGCCTATAATCCCAACATTCTGGGAGGCTGAGGAAGGAGAGTTGCAAGTTTGAGTCTAGCCTGGGCAATTTAGCAGTTCAGCAAGATCCTGTCTCAGAATAAAGATTAATAAAAAGGCTCAGGACGTAGCCCAGTTTGGTGGCCCTAGGTTCATTACTGCCCCCCCCCACAAAAGCCTAATCATAAACAGACCACAATGGAAGAATCCTAAACCTAGAAATAATCAGCTGTGTGCCAGGAAAGTTGTAGAACCATGGTATTATCATGCTCATTTTCAAAGATGAGGAAACTGAGGCTTAGGCCGTTAAATTAGTAATTTAAGATTACAGAGCTCATTGATGAATGGAGCCAGAATTAAAGATCAAGAGTATCTGAATCCAAACTTTGACTCTTCCCTGTGTACTTCTTGTTCCAGCAGATAGGATAGTCTCAGAGTTGAATCAAGGCTTGGGTCTTGTGGTTCTTGTGTATTTCAGACTGGCTGGTGCTCCAGACTGTTCAGCTGGTTTTCCAGGAGGGGGATGCCATTGTGCTGCGGTGCCACAGCTGGAATAACAAGCCTTTGGTAAAGGTCACATACTACCACAATGAAATAGCCAAGAAATTTTTCTCTGTCAGCAAAAACTTCTCCATCCCACAAGCAAACCACAGTAACAGTGGTAAATACCACTGCACAGGACTCATAGGAAGAATGACCCACTCATCACAGCCAGTGACCATCATTGTCCAAGGTATGGGAACTCTATTGAGATGGAAGGATAAGAGAAGAGGTAATTGACAAGGGCTAAGGTCCTGTAGGCCTGAATGAAGATCTAAGAAGTGCCACACAGCACTGGGGCCAAGAAGAGTTGTTGAAGCTTTGCTGAGTATTGGCCAATGGGCAGCAGCAGGAGCCAGAGCTCATAGCCCTCTGCTTCTGGGATATAGGACACAAAGCTGAGGCCCCATTCCGTGAACAGCAGTGAAATAGAGCAGCCTTATTGCACCACAGCATCTCTAAGCTCTTGGACTTTCCTGAGTGCTGAGGGTGGCTTGTTTCTTCTCCTGTCTGACGCTATGGGACCTGGTGAACTCTTCCTATATACCCTGTGCAGTAGTGGTGCCTGCAACCAGGGCAGCTTCTGATCCTTCACCCTGCCCTCCAGAGGGCTGTATCTCTGCTCTGCATACTCCCCAGTGTGCTTTTACTTGTGTGATGGGGAAGTTTGGTTCTAGGAAAGAAAATCCATAGAAAGCCTGTGCTGATGAAGTTGAAGGGGAAATGTGCCTGTGATGGAGACACAGGAGAGCTTGGGATGATTTGCACTGTGTCTCTCTGATGGAGGAAGGGACAGAAAGTGGACTTATCACCTGTCCTCAAATCTGCTTCCCTAGAGCTCAAGTCAAGTGACTCTTCAGTGATGGTGATAATTGTGGCTACAATCATTGGGATAGCTGCTGTGGCCATTGCTGTTGCTGTAGCATCAATGATCTACCGCAAGAAAAAACGGACTCCAGGTTAGTGTCCCTCCTTGGTCCTGCTTGTTATCAGTTTCCACTTGGCTGAAGCCCTAAGTCCAGACATTGCCAGGCTAGAGGATTCTCAGTATTCAGCTATAGTGATTGATTGATTGGTTGGTTGGTTGGTTGGTTGGCTGATAGATTGATTCAACAAAACTGGAACAAAAATTCAAGCACTGTGGTAAACATTAGGGGTGATATTAAGATAAAGAAGCCTAGTTCCTTCCCTCTGGGGGTTCTCAGCATCATAGGAAGGACATAAATACAAATGGATAATTATAAGATGGGTAAGAGCAATATGAGAGAAATAAAATGGCCATGCCGGTGACATAGAAGAGATTTTGTGACCCCTGTGTGCTAGTCAGATCTGTTACTATAACAAAATGCCTGGTATTATCAACTTGCAAAGCAAAGACGTTTATTTTGGCTCACAGTTTGGAGGGTCCAGCCCATGATCATCTGGCTTATTTGTTTAGGCTGTGACAAAGCTGTGCATTACAGCAGGAGAACATCGTGGGGTAAAAGTGCTAACCTTATGGCCAGGAATCAAGGTCACAAAGAAGAGACCAGGAGGACCCATAGTCCTACTGAAGGGCCTGCCCCGATGACATAAAGACCTCCAACTAAACCCCACCTCTTAAAGGTCTCACTGTCTCCCCAGATCATCAGCCTGAGAGACAAGTGTTTAACACAGGGGCCTTTGAGGGACATTTGGGACACAAACTAAACACTTCATCTGGGCCGGGCCAGTTAAAGAAGATTTCATGGGGAACTAGTGTACTCTAGCAATTGAAAAACACAAAGTGGGGTCCTACTGCCAGGATTCAAATCTTAGTTCACAGCTATATGACCCTTGGGTGAGTTCCTCAATCTCTCCATGCGTCAGTTTCCTCATGTGGAAATGGGGACACTTGCAGGATCTACCTCATAGGATTGTTATGATGATTGAGACTGCAGCTCTTATAGCAGTTGTTTAGCTCACAGTAGACAGCATGTAAGTAGGAGCTGTTGCCACTGTGGAGGGGGTGATGTCTGAGGAGCAACCAGCTGTACAAAGAGGGCTCGAAGAGCATTGTAGGGACAGAGGCGAAGGCATGGAATGAGAGAATAATACTACTAATACCTCACACAGCATTTGCTGCAGCTTCATAGGGAGGGCCTCAGTTGCTGACAATAGGTAAATATTGAGACACTAACATACTCAGAGAAAGAGGTCTGTTTTAAAAGGCAGAGGAACCTAAGAAAGGTAGAATCAAGTTGCCTTTCTGCTATCATAGGGTTTGTTGACTTTTGTCTTTCTGGCCCTGTCACAGGCCAGAGTGTTTCCTGGGCTGGGGAGCTGGGAAGCTGGGAGGAAAGAAGGCATCTCTGTGAAGAAAGGGCCTCTGTTGTTCTAAACCCATCCTACCCCTGATCCTTGGAGCTGATCACTCAGCCCCATCCCATAATCCTACTAACCTCCTATGTGCCCCTCCCAGCTCTCCCAGGAAACCCTGAGCACAGGGAAATGGGAGAGACCTTTCCTGAGGAGCTAGGTGAGTACAGCGTTGTCTCTGGGGACTCAGTGATGTCCTGTCCAGGACTGCCACATGGATCGCAGCCAGCAAGAAGTGGCTTGTGTGAGTTTGGCTAGAGCAAGTGAGGGGTGGGGGGTGGGGGTGGGGCTCAAATCACTTGGTCAATTCTGAGTCTAACTCCTGGGCCTGAGGAGAGTCTCACTGAAATGTTACATTAGTTTGCAATTGAGAAGGAGGAGCCGCACCCACATTTCTGAGACTAAGAATCTGGGGACATTTTGAAAGCAATAGATTATAGAAATTTGTATCTTTTTGTGGAGATTTGCCAGATCTGGCAAAAAAAACCAGGGGTCTGAAGTTACAAGAAGACAAATAGGGTTGAAGAGGTAGGAGTCCAAGAGAACAGGGGAAGGAGTCCTGGGAACAACCCCAAGATGCATTGAGGCATCTGTCCCTGTGGAGGGGTAGGATGGGCATGGTAGAAACCATGGAGATTTCTATCATGGTAGAAATTAGGATATTTGGGCTTGAGAAAATTCTGGGGGACTAGGGCTATTAGTGGGTTTTGTTTTGTGGGTAACATTGGGTTCTGATGCCTCTCTGTGTCAGTTTATTAGGTACTGGCCCAGTTCTGCCACCATCATACAATACAATTTTTATTTTATTTTATTTTATTTTATTTTATTTTATTTTATTTTAGGGAAGGGTCTACAGGGTGTTCAGGGTCTCACTACTAGATCGGACTCATAGTGATCCACCTGTTTACGGCCTCCCAAGAGCTGGGATTACAGGTGTGCGCCACCATGCCCAGTCTCAACTGCCATTTCAGTGCACTCTAGGGGCCGGGCCGGCATGGCAGGACTGGGAATTGAACCCCCGGACCCTGCACCTGCTTTCAGGCACTTTAATATGCTGAGCTATTTGGCAGGCCCCATACAATACAATCTTCTGATGTTCAGTCACCTCAGTGAGGAAGGAGATGGATTGGCCTAGACCAATGATGGCGAGCTTCTTAGAGACCAGTTCCCCGAGCTGCTACTCAAAACCCACTTTATTTACTGGAAAGTGCAAACACTGTTATTAAACCTGAATACTGAGGTTTTAGTTTAGGAAACAAAACAGAACAAACCCATACATGAATATTTTGTCTTAAAAGCAAAACAACACACGTGCTATAATTTGCCACCACAGTAATCTTTGAGCCCTAGTGTGAAAACCAGTGACCAACCAATGTCTGTCCCAGGCGGGAGTGTGTAAGAGCAAAATCCCAGACTATTTCCTAACCACTGCCAAGATCTGAGCACAAAGGAAATTGGAGCTTTCTTCAGGGGCTTCCCTGACAGTGGGATCAGGCAGGAAGAAGAGGCCCTTGCGGACTCTCCCTCAGATGGCTGGAGTGTGACTAGGAGCAGAGCCAACGGATTTGAGGGCTTCAGCAGACTGTAGCTTTTCAAGCTGTGCTTTGAGCTGGCTCCGTGTGTTTCTTGGCCTGGCCATGTGGGGAAGCACCAAACCACGTCCAAAAAAGTCCAAACAAACTGGCTGGTAAATTTACAACCTTGTCGTTCAGTTCTACCTACATTGGGAGAAACACATTTCCCTGGAACTGATGGTTTCCCAAGAAACATAGTAAGTCCCCGTGGAATGTGTTAGAAGGGGCGCTCCAGGCATGGTTTGTTGCAGTTTGGAACATGGAAAATAGGATTCTTTGTGTCCAGAAGATGACGGAAGAGACTAGAAGCCTTGTCTCAGACTTCTCCCTGCCTTCCTGGGAAATGCAGAGTCACAGATACTGAGGCTGCTTTTCAGAGTGATCTATGGCGAAAACATAAAGGAATTTGGTGTTTCGGGTATTTATCAGAGAAAGTTCTGTCTCTATTTTTCCTTCTCTCTCTTTCTGTCTTTTTCTCTTTCTGTCTTCTCTCCCCCTTCCCTTCCTTCTTTCCCTGTCTTTTCTGCCTTTCTGCTTTTTATCTACAATTTTTCTTGTCTCTTTCATTTTTCTTTCTTCCTTTCTTTCTTGCCTTCTTCCCTCCCTCCCTTCCTCCCCCTTCCCTT